TTCACACTTTTTACACATATGTATACATTATTTTTCTATATGTATATTACATATGTTTAAAGGTACTGTTTCACACTTTTTACACATGTATGCATTATTTTTCTATACCAAATTATGTTTAAAGCTACCATTTCACACTTGTGACACATATGTTAACATTATTTTCTATATTATATAATTATGTTTAAACATATTATTTCACACTTTTTACATATATGCATAAATTATTTTCTATATCACACTTTTAAAGCTATTCAATATTTCACAATTTTGATAAATATGTATACATTATTTTCTTTATGGCATATGTTAAAAAGTTTTGGCCCAGCCAGGTATACAATATTTTCTATATCGCATACATAATATTTTATATGACTTCTATTTTTTACTTTTCTCTCAAAAAAATATGATTACGAGTAGATATGGTATAGTTTTTTTTTACCATTAACCTGCAAAATTTTATACCTTCCACTTTAAAATCAAATCTAGGGATAACACAATGTCAGAAAATAAGTTTGTGAGCAGCACTGCTGGGATAAGTTATTATTGGCTTCAAGTTACAGTTTAGATCTTTCAAGTCTTTTTTAATATAATATCAAAAATGTAAAAGAATATTTAGAGTTGTTACAAGTTTTGAATATCATTACGTTTTCATATACAGTATTATTTTTAAGTCTTTAATCTTCTGCTATAACTTAAAACTCGAGAGTTACAAACATATAAAAGAATATGTCACCTTTACCGGCTTAGATTAACGAAATATATTGGGTCATACAATGGAAGGATTTTCTTTTTATTGAGAAGTGTTAGTCATGCATCACAGAAAGGTTTTAACACTAACTACAGTTTGCAACAGTACTTATTTTCTTAGTCATATCACATGTTAATAGGTCATACTAGGTTGATCGGTTTGAATAGAGCCATTCATACAAGAAGTTACACCTGCTTTTAATTGGCTTCACAAACTTTCGAGGTGTGAGCGAAATATTTAATTTTTTTTGCATTTTCTGCAACTGTTCAAAAAAGGTATTTAATATAAAACCGAATAGATTGCTTAAGTTGAACCGGGTTTCAAATCAAGAAAATCTGTTGAATATTTCAATCATGATCAAGCAATTACAATATTTAAGTGTATAGAAAATCGCTTTAAATCGTATAAAAAGTTTGTATACATGATGACACTACAGTTGTGATATTAGCGAGATTGAATCTCAAAATTGTTAAAGATTATCTCTATTAAATCAAAACTATTATGTCTAAACTGTGCACGATTACAGATATGCACCGAGTATTGTGAAACAGATAAGAAAAATGAAGTTTTAATGATAATACACACACCTGGAGGAAAGATCGTAACTACAAAGTATTTTGCGTTCAAGGACAGCTATACATTTTTATGTGTTTTTTGTCCTTTGTTCAAAATGTTTTTTTTAGGAATGCATTTCATATAAATCATTTATAACTAAACAAGACTTTTTTTTACAATATCAACCCGCTATTATCAGTATGTGAAAAACACAAATGTTTGAGTCTAAAATATGGGCCCTGAACTCCACAGTGGCTTTAATATTCAGGCTTCAAAAAAATTGTCAGTAAAATGTGATAGCCTTTAACAAACAAAACTCCCCAAAACCCACTGATCGCACTGAATGAGAAGCTTTTGAACTCAATTTTCAAACCTTTTAAATGTAAACAATGTCCTCCTGATAGAACTTTAAGTGTTTTACTTGTTAAAAGTGTAAACAAAGCGAGTGAATAAAACTAAAATGGCAGATAAAAATCAGAAGTACACATTTTGATCATATTCATATTGATCTATCTAGGAAGGACATGACTAATTCCAAATGAACAATCTGTATACATTTTGCAATAGATCACCCCCTGTTTTTGTACGGAGTTCAGGAAAAAAAAGTAAGTTTTTTTTTATGTCCTGCAAAACATCAGCCTTGGTAGGAAAATAAAGTTGCGTTAAAAAACGCCATTAGTTAATCAAATAAATCGAACAAAAATCAAAGGGGTTTTATGAACAAAGGAATGAACACTTGAATCGGTTGTGTAAACACGTACAGCAAATAGAAAGATTCCTTTATACTCCATCGCATTATAGTGTTTCACGCGGGTGGACAGGCATAAAAAACAGAAGAATCTTTTGAATTTCACGATAGTTTGCCTAGCAGTAAAATACAGGGATCATCTTTATTTTTCAATGATTTAACACAGTAAACCTCAAATTTAAAAAGAACGAATGACTTCACAGTATTTGAAAACTGGGTATGTCATGGTCGCTTCGGTTTGTTGTTTTTTTTAACTTACCATGATAAATATCTCTAATGGACTTGTCCATCTTTCAATCTGGACAAGACCATTTATCATTTTTAGGGAAAATTTTAAATATGTATTCCTTGAATAGCAAACAGTGCAGACCATGATCAGACAGTTCCATGTGTCTAACAGCTGATCTGGGTCTGCACTGGTTGCTTGGGTAAAAACAGTTGCTGCCAGGAGTCTTAGGGTTAACTTCTTTCATAAATTGCAACATCAACTTTCCAGTTGTTCATACAGTATTACTATTATAAAGATATCACAATTGCTATAATTTATCATTCTTTACAACTGTTTTATGACACATTACTTGCTGAGAGATTATGTCATTTCTTTCCCAACAGGAGTTAAACACAATTTAATAAATACAACCAGAATCTTGCTTAAATATCCATCTATTTTTTATGTGTTGCTAGCAAAAAGAAAGGCTTGTAAAATTATTCACTCTAACTGTATACAGATGGGCCTCTGAGGAGTTTTCAATTCATATTGTAGTAAAATGCACTATTATTAATTCAATGTTATGTATATATAAGTATGTTTCACAAAACTTTTGAAATAAAACTGCAATTTCAAAGCATTAAATTCAAATAAATCAAAATTTTCCATTTTGCTTGGCGCCATATTGCAAGTGTGCTTGTGATCCCTAGTAACAGACATAGCAACAAAATACATAAAACTGAGAAAATAAAGAAATCATTAAACAATATTCTAACAAAGAATGATACATCTGGTGTTAAACATATGATTACAAGACTTATGCCTTTTTCCCCCTCCAATCCAGGAGAGTCTTAAATGATTTTGCCACAATTAACAAACTGCTTTTCAATGGGCGAGGCAATATTACATATTGAAAGCACCACAATGGCTGGAATATTTCACAGTAATTCAAGCAATAATCCTATATTTGACCACTTTTATGTTAAAATATCAGGTTTATTGTAATAGTTATATAACAAACAATATCTACATATCGAGGTGTAATATGTCAATATATTTCTGTCATGTTATAAATGAGATGTCCATTGCTGTACATTATGATAAAGTCCCTTATCATGCAATACCCATTTAAACCCCAGAAACATGTAATTATTAAGATGCATTCTGGGATAGACATTCAGTAGTATTTCCCTATATTTTCAAATTCAGTTACAGAATACCTGTACTTTTTTCGTATTTTTAATTCTAAGACCAAATTGTCTTTCTTCCTTTACAATGTTCACCGATGGCTGGTTATAAACAATGTGTTACTAAAGTAGATTTCATGCAAACTTTGATTTTGGTCCCCCACCAAAGATTCTACATGTAACATTTATAAGCTATTCGCCCCAAAACATTCTAACATCAGGCAATGTATCCAACCCTAATAAACATTCTAGCATCTGGTTTTGACCCTCTATCATTCATTTTAGCATCAGGTATTGGCCTAGACTGGAATTCAGGCATTGATATATTTTTGCTTATTCACAGCATTCGCCTCTTTCAGACAATTTTCTGATAGTTTGTCGAATCACATAAATAAATTGAGACTGAGAACCAGGCTAGTATTGGCCCAACATTCATGCTAATATCTTCCTATAATTGTAACAAAGTGCATTTTAAAAATCCTTTAACATTTTCTTACAATCCTCTTGAAAAAATATAACATTGACATTGTACATTAAAAGTCATTCATCCTGAAACTTCAATACGCGTATTTTTAAATGGGCCCACATTAAACCAGTTTTTTGTATCATAGTATCAGTTTTTTATCAAAGACATCACACTTCCTCGCTTATCAATCTTGCCTACAAAAAAAACCTACCATAATTATTATGCACATAAAATTTGTAAATGCACAAATTTAGGTCTGCCTTATTGTAAACTGACATATCCTAACTGTTAAAAGAACTACCTCATATTTCATCACGGGCAATAAATCATTCTTTAACTTGTGTGTTTGTGTGGGTTTTTTTTTTTTCTTTCTAATTTTGCCACTTTCATAATGTTAATAGAAATGCATTGGTGTCGACAAATAAAATGAGGTGATCATTATCTCTGATACAAAATGGTGTTGGCTTGAATAATTGTATACACTTAAACATGTTTTTTTTATCCATGTATGCCGAGTTTACTTTTTTTTTTACTTTCCAGTTTTTATAATAGCTGAAAAGTTAAATACAATATTTCAATAGTGTATTTTACCACAACATAAAAAATCTGAAAAATGTTTAATAAGAGCATTTAAGATTGTTCCCTTATTATCATTCCATATTAGAAAATAAGATTTTTGAATGCTTAATACTCTTTGCATTACAAACAATAATGCCAGCCCTGTGCAAGCAGTAAAGACCCTTGCATGTCCATGTAGTCTGATTATATGTACTCTTTACTAATGGCAGCTGATTTGTACAACTTTGATATCTAGATCTGCAGGTGTCTAATAAGGCACTAAAAACTTATTAAAAGGTATTTTGCTATAACACAAGTTTCGATGAATGACAGACACTGTCATTGTCAGTGATTGTAAAAGAAGCAAGACATGTAACTCCAATACTTATGACTCAGTACCTCTTTATGGAGATAGTAGATACAATGTTGGTATTTAATGTACTATAATGAACTTATAGAACAATTTCTCTACAATTCTTAACTAAACCCAATAGAAGCAAAGGGGGCTAATAAAACAGTCAGCGATGTAACAGTAATAACAATTTATTTTTAAAACATTTGGATTTGGCATTAATCACAAAATTAATGAGTCAATGACTTTTGTATGAGATGAAACATAATGAAATAATGAATTTGAACATTTTGTTTTATATATATATGAAAATGGCAGGGTTTTGAGTTAAAGACTTACAAAGTCTGTAAATATGTGTGTTGTGTGTGTGTTTGTTGAAGACAGGTATCACAACATGTTAGTAAAGATTTACATTCTCTACTGACATGTTGAAACACCTGTTCACCGTTGTTACGTCCTGCACAAGTACAAATTGAAAAATGACACTAAAATTAAAGCAAAAACTGTCAATAAATTTAAATAGCTAGTCTTAACACAGGGTGCACTATTTCCTACGTCCCTATACATTTTATCGTATATGGTCAGTTTAGTTCTATTTTCACTGTTTCTCTGGAAATCTGGATCTGATTTAAGCACATCCTGTAACGCGGATAATGCGGAGTATATAAATGTATCGTTCCCCGTTGTCAATAAATCGAACACGCAGGAATCGAAATAGAAATCTACAAGATTGGCACTTCGGCATAGATCCTCAGCCTCCTGTCGTGACATATTCACATCACTTTCACTAACTTGTTTCTCTTTTAAAGCTAAAAACTTTTTATAATCAATGATTTCACTTTTGGGACAGCCGCGAACACACAGCTCTAAGTTGTTTTTGTTTGTGGAATTCACTGGCAACAATTGCTCCGGCATTCTAATCAAGAATGTCAAATAATTCCCTACAAGACGAATAACAATTTTGGTATCGATGTATTTCATAGTAATCTCTACATGTCTGCCTGGGTCAATTTCCACGAGAGACACGCTGTGAGATTTTCCGTATTTAGTCTGGCCGTCATTGAAAGAACCTGGTAACATGTACGAATCAGCCTGGTAAAGTATGTAGCTGTCTGAAGCACAATCTCGATTTCCTTTGATCAGCACTGTCAACTGAAACGATAGTTTAAAACAATGGTAAATAAATGATTCAGTGCCGGGGAACACAGTAAATCTAACTGTCCTAAGAAATATTCTAAAAACAACATAGCCTATTCTAACTGTCTAAATAATGACAATCTCTTTTATTTATTTCTGTAAATACACTTTGTTTAGGTAATATATTCTGCAACATCTTGAAGAGGGCAGGGGAGCGAAAGAAATATATGGCTTGTTTTCAACACTAAGAAAAGCTGTTCCAACATCAAAGATATGCTAGTTTCACAATCTGTCTGGCTCTGAGCAGCATATAGCAAGGTTGTCTGCAATAATATGCCACTACCAGTATGACTATCTGAATTCAAGTGGTTACTTGACTTACCGGAATCAGCCAAATTACCGGAGTAGGCCAAATTACCGGAATCGACGGGGAATTATAGGGCTGTTTGATCCTAAGTTATGACCATAAGTTTTAAAATACATAGTGACCAAATAGCAGAGAGTGCATCGATCAGTTGCCACCTGTAAGGTAAGAAATTAATCAATTGGCAATGCGAAATTTAAAGCTGACCAATAAAATTACACTTAAATCAGTTTGGAAAGGATTGCATAAAAAACTCAGTATTCAAAAGCATAAATTTTGAACATAAAATTAATGTACATGTATGTATAAAATGGGTTACTGCCTTAATGGACATTTATAATGTACATTTTTATATTTTTTCTATATTTATTTCTGAACTGTTTGGTATATTTATATGGTATTTAATCTTTCAACAAAATCATTTTAATATGGCAATCTTTTTTTTATTTATTTTTTTTATCAATAAATCAAACTAAATCAAGAATAACTTTGGCTACAAATATAAGGTGTCTTAAAAGCGTTTAAAAAAAGGTTACATTGATTTTGAGGTGCTCTCTGTGTTTTTATGTGTTATTTTCTATTTTACTTTAAAAAGCAGATGGCCCAAGTATTAAATATTAAACTATCATTTCTTTTCACAAAGCTCATGGTATTGAAAGATAAATAAATGGAATGCTTAGAACTTTAAATTACGGAAACTTGTATACATATTTTATAAGGATATGTTGAAGCTAAATCTTTACTTTTTATGTACATTTCTTTTTATCAGATGACATTAAATATAGATGGGACGGGACGCTCTTGCAACTGATTTATATCTGCAGAAATCTCCTTAAAAGTGTTCTTTACATCAAAATCTATGCAACGGTTTTATATGATAGTTACACATTTGAAGGTATGTACATAAAGTGTGTGTAGACATCAAATACTTTACTACATTTATCTATTTAAATCCACTCAGATATCTTAAATTTTATGCACATTTTCCACACAAGTATAGAAAAGGATTTGTTTATTTTCTCTTCACTATTGTGACAAAGCAGAGTCATTTCTCTAAAATTCCTTTGTGTAATTCATAATGATATTTATTCTAAATGCAGTAGATTTTTTTTTTCAATTACATGTACTGTTAACATTTAAATTTAAATTTCAAAGCAACCTTTGAAACTTAAACTTTATAAAATTGACTGGACATTGGACATTTGTTATATTGACTCAATGATTGAGTCATTTATTGTGTTATACTTTGAACTTAGCACGGAATATTTGAGGTTGAGTGTTACCAGGTGCCTTGTAAAAAACAGCACCAGCTTTCGGAAAATATCCCATGAATCAACTGGGGCTGTTCAACCTATCAGCAATGCAAAAAAATAGCACCTTTATTGTTGCATGAACATTTGTAGAATGCAAATGTACATACATAATACATTGTACAAAAAACTTTGTATGATTTATATTGCAAACTTGCCAACAGTGTTGTATAAACCTTCCCTGACTGATTTTCTACAATGAGCCAGTCCTCCTTTGAAGTTGGAAATGTCCACTGTGAATGTCAGGAATTTTTTAATGCAAAATGTATAAGTTGCTAAGTTCATAATACTAGTGGAATAGGCCTCCCCATATCCCCCCCCCCCCCCCCTGATAGAATCCTAATTAAATGGTAATTTATTTTTACGAAATGTTACAGTGCATTTTGTTCTGTTACAGTGAATTTGTTGGAAATGTTACAGTGCATTTGCTCAATGTATTTGTTATTCTGAGGGGATAAAGTGTCCCAATATCCTAACACTATCAATGTGTCTGACATTTTGTTTGAGGACTCCGGAGATATTGTGCATATAAAACATAGTTTTCATGGACAGATATATATACGGTATATGTATGATATGCAAATATTGTGTACATCTTACACCAGCCAGATGTCAAAATAACTCACAATTTTGCCTGTTTTCATTGTGATATGTATGGAATATGTTAAACATGCATCACCATTAAACTGTAAAGCAATAAACATTTAATATTCTATTAAACAATGGCTCATAATGACCCTTTCACCATATTTGCAGGTTGTTTTAATGGCCTTTTTAAAAATGCATTTATGAAAACCACAGGCAGGACTTTATAAATATAAAGAATTTATATAAATTTTTCATCATCCCAAACATTTAAAGCTGAACAATAATTACATAATTGCAGTTTATTTGTAGGTCCTGTTTTGTTTTGTTTTTTAAAAAGAAGAAATAAAAAAAAGCATGACCAATCACCTAGTAGCATCAATTACTGTACTTCACAATCACTGGGTCATTTTGCAACAAATTGTGTTATGATGTTTGTGAGGGCATGGCCAAGTAGTTAAAGCATCAGACTAGTAATCTGCCTGCGTGGGTTCAATCCCGGGCGCCATCAGGGAAAAGCCATTATTTCCTTGGGCAAGAAACTTAACACTCATTTTTAATACTAAGCACTAGTAAGTAGATTCAAGAGATTGTAGCTTCCCACAGACCTACACAACCTAACTTAATAAATTCTATATTAATTAACCTCTGAATTTTGTTTATGAACTGCTACAGAGTTGTTAATGTGTTGAAATTCAAGTAAAAACACTAAAAAATATATTTTAAATTGTCATTTAGTATGAAAAAGTGTATATATCAGTGTCTATATATATTGAATTCATTATAAATGTAAAATATAAAATGTACTGAAATTCTGACGAGCACTTTTTGTAATGTTATTTAAGAAATGTATTCAACTTTCAACACAAGATAATGTACTTAGTGACACAAGCTTTAATGCACCTTCATTAATCATTAATACCCCAGTACTCTACAATACATTCTTCACATGAAATGTCTGCTCACAGACCTTATTTCAGGCAGAAAATAAATAATTCAAAATCATGATTTATGTTGTAAAACTGAACAGGAGAAAAAAAGTAAAGGTAAAAACATCTGATCTAACTGGGGGTATAAACATAGGCATTCAATAAAACAGGTATTGATTGGTCATAATTGTTTAGACACTGTTTAGAGATCTAATTTTAAATAGATCTAATGCTCTGGTATTCCACATGCAAAATAGACAATAAACGGCACATGGTTCTGTGGTATACAGGTACTAAAAATGTAAGGGATACAGGTACTAAAAATGTATGTCTTACTCTATTACTAAAGATTTTCATTAAATATTAAGGCATTCTTTCTTCCCTGAATTTACACTTACATGTTTTAAGAAAGATATCTGCTACATGTACATTTACAGGTATTTTTTGTTTTTGTATTATTTTTTTTTAATCTTCCACCATGCACTTTGTCCAAAAGTTTTGTGGGTTTGCCACACTGAATAATTCAGTGTCACACATATTAACTTTCATATTCTAATCTACATAATCTGGGAAAGGCGATTAGTTACTTTTCATTCAGTGGGGGTATAAATTATAACATTTTGCCTGAAAATTGCAGGATTATAAAGAAGATACTTCTTTCCCTTGCAGTATATGACCCAAAACAGACATTATTATGGCCTATATATACATCATATAATATTAATTATAAGCCAATCTTAAAATAGATTTCTATGGCAAGCACAATTCAAAGTGTAACAAAATTATAACCAATTCTTTTATAAAAAAGGAATATATTTGAATTAAATTCTGATCTATCAAAAAAATTCTGACCAACTTAATATTTCTTCATATAAAACCTCTCTATCTAGATTTTCTTTTGGGTGATTTAGATCAGAAATATTAACTAGTGAACATGATATCAACCAATATTTCTTGATGCTTCACTGCCCTTTATGATTATTTCCTAAATTTATTAGCAAAAATAAATGACTCCATATCTAATCGGAGTCGCAATAATGCTTAATTTCCATGGTCACCTCATAAAATGTACAGCAATGAAAGTTTCAAAAATTTAATATATCATAGGGTGAGGATAAAGGGCTTTGTACTGATACAGGCAGATGCCCCCGTACATGGTTTATCAAGCTTTTAATTAGAACCATATCAGCTGGTAACAGAGCTTAGTCGTGTTGACACAACTATCACGGGTAGCCTTTCTAATCATGTGACATATTGATCATTTTGTTAAAAGTTCAATACATTGTTCAGATTTGGACACAAAATTAAAGCATGAAACATTGGCTCATGCAACTTTTCAAAACCTTTTAATAGTACTCCCACAAAAATTTTTTATTGGTCTTGCTATGTCCATTAATTTACTGAATCAATTTTTTTTTCCAAAGGTTTTCAAAATGAAAAACTTAAAATCAAGGAGGGAACAGTGATTATGGGCTTGAAAATCAGACTTCACAGAAATAAAACCTGTAGCAAAACAAACATCTGTATAATAGTTCAAGTCTTAATATATATGTATGTATTGTATATATACAACATAAAAAGTACAATTTTAATTTTGCTGCCGTTTTTTCTGGAAATTTATGCACAAAATGAGTACCAAAAATACAAAGATCTTTACTCATTTTATGGTCTGAGCAAACAAACGGTAATAATCCTGAATGTGTTAACTAAAAAACTTAATTGGAAAACGGATTCTGTGTAAATCAGCAGATGTTACAAGGTGCTGACAGTTGTGATTATATTTTGGGGAGGGGAAGTATCTTAACTTTCACCAGATGAGAATTCTCAGATCTCTCTCTTGACTTTGTTTCCTTCTCTCTGAACTATAAACTTTCCAGGTCTACCCACTAGCACATGCTCCTTAACAGCTTTCAAACCTCGCACAAAACTTGTGAAGAAAACATGTGCTCTATTTCCCAATCTCTCTGTTCGCATACATGATTTTGCGATAGCATCAAATGCCATGTGAATTAATATATTATGCTATGATTTCTTTGAAGTTTTAATTATACCCAGCACATAATTGCCAATAACTACTAGCGATTCCAGAGAACCAAAGTTACGCTTAGAAATTATTGTGCAAAGATATTCATATGCACCAGTTATTACAGGGTTATTTTGGCAATTTCTCGATAAGCAGGCGAAATTTCTCATATCATTAACATAAATGTAATTACAACATAGCGTGCAAAGAAATGATCTTGGTAATTTCTGAGTCCATATGAATTTTTTTGCTGGAAAACAAAATCATGAAATGCACTCTAAAAAATAGCTTTCTTACAAAAAAATCTACCGCCATGAATCAAGTAAAAAAAATAATGGATTATATAAGACAGATTTGGCTCTTGGGAATAGTTGCTATGGCCATGGATTTTATCAATGAAAGCTTGCATTTATTTTACTATATACATAGACAATAACTAATATATGTGTTGGTCCTGTACTACCAATTGATGAAAAGCATTGATTATGACCTTAACTTAATATCAATTAACTAATTAAATTAATTAATTATTTTAAGTTCACTCTTTGGAATTTGAACAAAAAAATGCGATATATACAGAGAACAACCATGCATTGAACTTTTAGTTGGAAAAAAATGTTAAAGATTTAAACATTGGACCTTCAGTTATAAATTCCACCATATAGAAAAAGGACATTCCATTATGATTTTATTTGTGCCAATTATACCCTCATTAGAAATTCAGCTATTTTTTGCTAATTTCTTACTTAAAATCTTGTATAGACATGTATATTTAATTTTATAAAATGAGATATAGTCAATACATGTACATGATTGTATTAAATTGTATTTGCCATCATCATATAAAATAAGGTCCGCTGGGAGTATTTAATGGTTTTTCCAGTTCAGAAGTGAGTGTGTTAGTACTCATTTACCTAAGAGTTCCTAGCCAATATGCCAATATTAAATGATTGATCAGTTTTGAAGATGAATTTCAACATGCATTGCTTTCAAAGTTTATTAGATCTGTCTATAAGGCCACCCTTAAAAAATTGTTTGTTTGCAGTAACGCGACCGACTCACGAAATTTGCCCCTAACCAAACTATTTTTTAGGGTCTGGCAAAGCAAATTGTTTTTTTGCGAAAATCCCAGAGTGTTTTCGTTTTTGCTGTATTTTTTTGCATTCATTTATTAATTCAACATGGCAGCACCCATGTAAAAGCTGTCTAACAAAGACATTACAAATGCTTTATTGGGTATTAGTGATCTTGTTTTGCTGTTTAGTCTATCGTAATATATGTAGAGTTCATGCAAAAAAATTTTATTTTTTAAATCGACCTACCTACCCACACTGAAAATTCTGAGTAGCGTTACTGCAAACAAACAATTTTTTAAGGATGGCCTAATCTATAGTAGTTTCTATATAATCGGTATTACGTCATGTGTCAGGGGTGTAGCTTAGTTCAGATATGTGTAGGCTAAATTCTAGGGGGGTATGCTGTGGGGGCATGCACCCCTAGGAAACTTTTATGGGGGGATCATCTTGATTGTAGGAGGTGCGCTTAATTAGCATATATTTACTATTTAGTTCAGGGGATTCCTTGAAGTTGCTGGTAGATATATATGTATTATTGTATTATTTACATATGTCCACTAGCCTGAAAAAAAGTGTAAGCAGATTGGCCAACAAAGCCTATATATACATGTAGCAAGCCATGCCCATGTCTTGATAAACTAGTTGCTGCATGGTTCAAGTTTTAACATACAGTGCACTTTTACTAATATGACCTGCTTTCTAACAATATTAAATGAGGGTCACTAAAGTTATGAGAAAATACAAATTATTAAACTATGTTTTGTGACTAGTGTATGGAAATTACTTGTGTATTGTATAGATGGAAACTATTCGAGTATTGTACAATCTCAGTCAAAGAACTTTGCAACAAAAATAAAGCATTAAATTGATTAATTGACTTTTGTCTACTTTCAAGTAAAACAAGAGATAAATAATCCAAATTTTAAATTGAAATAAGTGAAGATATAAGGTATTGGTAAGATAAAAATTACATTATCTGTCTTACAAGAGAGATACTGCATAAATCACAGTTGACAAGATGTTGCCTATGGTACATATGGTGTACAATATAACCAGACCAGGGGCTATATCCAGAACAAGACAAATTTGTTTTCAGACAGCAAAGAAAATAATAGTTGTAACCTGGTGAACAATTGACTTGAAATTGGTTCTGATGTGGAGGAGGGAAAAAAGAGTGAATTATTCAAGTTATTACAAACCATATGCTTTTCGGTTGTTCTGTTGTTTTGTTTTTGTTCTATAACTTACAGAATAAAGGTTTTATTACAAATGTAAATTATTCACATTTTCTATATAAATAATATGCAAGTAATACTATAATGATAAAGTGTAGAAAATATTTAATTATACAGGTAGAAACAAGTAAATTGTTTATTAGGCCAAATGAAAAACCTGCATCTAGGTAATATTTGTTTAAGTGGTAACAGAATGCATTTTGTATGTATTACTCAAAACCTTATGACCTGGAATGAAAAAAAAACGAACTTAAAAAAAGTGAAATGCATTTAAATATTAAGTTTGTTCCTATCTGCAGTGTAAAACAAGACCAAAACATGAAACAGCAGAACAAGAAGAGGGGAAGAATTTTAGTGTGTCACCTGCGATAAATATATATACTTACTTTTGTAGTAGCTGTTGCCCGGACTGATCGAGAAACAACTTCATTCGTAACCTGAACTGTTAGATGATCATTGTCAACTAATGGCCATGCTCCTTGTACACGGCAGGTTTGGAACTTGTTATCAAATGTACGAATATGGGGATCCCCAAATAATCCACAATGTCGGTACTCTTTTTTACCATGGTACGTACACAATTCATCGGGAGGCAGCAGAGTGATGGGTGTCCCTGTCCAAATTTCTAAACTTGGGTCACACTGATAATGACTCATTTGGTTTTTCACAACTTTTTTCACACTATGAAATTTTATGATCCCTTTACATCCATGTAAATTTTCTAAACAATGCAAATACGTCCGGAGACTGGTACAGCGAATATCTGTGTCTTTAGCCTCAGAAGAGGACAATTGCCTTTTTAATGTTTGATAGGCAACCTGGGATTCCTCCCAACATCTGTCAACATCACATGCGTGAACTGAAACACAAATGTGTGCACATACATAATAAATATCGTAAAAAAATAATAATAAACTAAATATATTCATAATATAATGATAATAATTTTAACTTATATATTCATATTTTAAACAATAAAGCAATTGGGTCACAACAGAGTGAAATAAAAGTAAGTATTAAAATCAAGTTGAACCTTTTAGCAATTAAAATGAATTTAAAAACATGAAAAAGGGGAATTTATTTTTATAATAAATACTTATATATTTTCAATGCAACAGATTGGTAGTATATATAAAAGAGCAAAAATCAAATGAAAAAAAATATTTTTAACATTTGATTGAGTAAATTACTTGAATATACTTTTCATACATATATATACTTGGTATATAAAAATAAAATGTTGCAGAATTAATAAAAGCCTTAAAGAAACATTTGACATTACGGTAGAAAAAAATACAAATCATAAATTATTCATCAATCTTTTAATTATACAATTACAGCGTTCAGTTACTATCAATTTAATACAACAGGTGCGAAACTTCACGCGCCGTCTCTGTGTTGATAATACACAAGTGTGTATACTTCAAGTGAACTACATTACACTACACAGGTAATGTCCAAAATCGGCGACCTCGACACACTGTCATACATAATCAGTTAACTTCTTTGCAACGAAAAAAAACCGCATATACAACCATACCTGATTTAAACAATATTCCAAGCACAAGAACTGTCAGGAATACTGTCTCCCGACCATTACGGGAAATCGGCATAAACATCTCCGTTTTTCCATGACATGAGTTCGGCACGAATGTGTTATTCCTTTTTTCTTCCAAAATGTCCGAACCTTTCCCTCTTCTCCGAGACTTCGGTCTGTGAAAATAACATAGAGAACCATTAGCCATGTATCGGCATGTTTTTGTCATACATATGTTTCTACTTTCGCATTAAAACTATGCCGCAATCATAAGAAATGCATAATCCATTTATTTTACACCTCAAAAATTAAATTAGGTCCAATTTGAAAGCGTGTATTCATACTAATACATTCAGTTATCGCACTGTTCTGTGCTATTTTCAATTTGGGTCAATGGGAGGAGCTTACTCTTTCAACCTCACACCATTAGTATCCTTCCGCTGCTCCGATTGGTTGAAGATAAGACTCCTATATCAAATATCAATAGCGCTGTCAAAATGGAATACAAACAAACATGGCTGCCCTTGAATTTGATTGGTCGATAAGAGTATCGGTTTTCGCACCTGAGGTGCGAACACAGGTCCTGATAATTAAATCAAGATAATTAATATGAAAGTAATAAGTTTAGCAAATAAACTAATGAATGATCGATAAACAATCAGACATGCGATCAAAGAGAGTTAGGAGGGGACAGGATCGGAACGATCGCTCTAGAAATCTTGAAATATATATCGGATCAGCCTGAAGCTGATTTTGGGGCGCTGGGGGTTCGGATTTCAGCTGATATTTTGCAGACGATTTTCCTAATCTTTCAAAGAGTACTGTTTAATTTATATATTCAAAGTTCATAAATTATCTTCGGATGCAATGGTATTTTTTTGCGAAACTGTTTGGTGTGATTACGAAATCATGATATGTTTAAATTTCATGACGAATTTACCCTGAAGTCCATGGGATTTTGGTAAGATGTCTGTGACCTTTATATTGCATATATTGGACCTGAATTATTAAATTCATTTTTGATAAATTAGCAATAAGTTTATGAACTCAAAAAGACCACATACACGTTGAAAAACTGGTTGGCAATCTCCATCCAATCCGCCTAGCACCCTCTTTTCTCCTTTATTATTTATTATTATTTAATAGATGTCACTGTGACAAAAAGGAGCTTTACTTTATCAATGTTTAAGGGGATGCTAATGCTATACAATATATTATTAAATCATGTTACGACAGAAAGAGTTGCTTCCCTTAGATAATAAGTACTGCGCTATAGTAAAATGAATGGATAATATGAGAACATTATCATCAAAAGCATAATAAATTCTACTGATTAATTGACATGTATAAATTAAATGGCGATTTTTATTGTGTTTGTGATAAGAATCGGAATTTAATCAAAATACATGCTCTCTTGCAGAGTGACTCTTACAAATTTAAATTAATGCCTTCGAAAAGAGCTTTTTTTCAACATTTTAGTTTCTGTATACATATGTATTTGTGATGTATGATCCAGAAATTATACAAAGACATCGTTTAACCTGGGGAAATGATTCATTTTTCTGTTGTAATTAGATATAAAAAACACTTCTCATACAAAGAAACTTCAGAAGAAAACACGATGGAACAAAAGACTTGATTCCTAAATACTTGTCAATAAAATATTCTTCGCAATTGTTCAACAATAGGTTACAACTTGATTTATGCGACGTATTTAATTCCCCAGAGAACATGGATTTCCTACCAAATCCAAAACCAGTGATTCAGGAATATTTTTGTGACAGGATTTTAAATTAAACACTGAAACACAGTTGGAGATTTGAAAGAGGAAACAAATTAACTCTCTCCTTAATTTGAGAATTTTCTAAGGAACTCTCCCATTTACGAAATTGAAATTTATGCATTTCCTTTAATGGAATTTCATAGCATTTGCAGCTCCCCAAGTGTGCTATGACGTCTGCAGACAATGTATGAGCCGCGTCACGACAAAACCAACATAGTGCGTTTGCGACCAGCATGGATCCAGACCAGCCTGTGCATCCGCGCAGTCTGATCAGGATCCATGCTGTTCGCTATCAGTTTCTCTACTTTTTATAGGGTTTGTAAGCGAACAGCATGGATCCTGATCAGACTGCGCGGAAGCGCAGGCTGGTCTGGATCCATGCTGGTCGCAAACGCATTATGTTGGTTTTGTCGTGACGCGGCTCATATGAAGAATAAGATGTATATAGGAAACAGACTAATGTTCCGTCTAAAATAATGATAGAGTATGCTTTAATATTTATGTTGCCTGTTTACAAGTTCCATAAGTTCTCAATAAATTTACAAACCCATTTACAAACACGCAAAAGAAGCTCTTTAATTTTGTATATATTTCTTTATTTTTGACGTTTGATTGTAAATTATATATATGTGTACATTTTCAGGGTTTCTAATACTTCACACAATTTTAGTGTGGCTTTTTTTCTACAAATTGAAGATTGCCATTTACATAATAATATCAATTTAACACTGGTGTAGTTTTGATCGAAATTTTGGTACATGTACTTTATATTCCAAAAGAAAACGCTGCTGAAAACGAACATTTTATACAGTAAGCGAAATAGTCTAACAAGTCACTAGACTATTATTATTATTATTATTATTATTAAATTCATAACACTGTATAATGTATTTTGTCTCTCGTGTTTAATATCCGACATATATGACGGTGATTAGAAATAAAGAATGTCAACAAATAAACATCATCATCTATTTTAGCCGCAAATATGTCTGCTAAATTATTGTTCAGGTATGTACCCTTTCGCTTAATAAATGTACCAAGAAGTATATAGACATTTAACATGAAACCACTGCCTCACACTAAAACTCGTAAATTTCGTCATTAGAATATATAAGAAAAAACTGGAGGGAACATAAGTGTTGAAATATGTGTCGAAAAAACAATGAAAGTGCCAACTTGGTGTTTTTCTATCATTCAAATTTGACGAATTATATTTACATAAGAGCTATACAGGCGACGGTAGTCTTCCTTTACTTATAGTATTCCTCTCTCTAGTGAAATGAAAATGTTGGAAATGAAACCAATTTGTTGCTCCTGGTATTTCAGTTGTATATGGTTGGTGAGAGATGCTGATTTGCAATCTTACACTGTCTATGATCAATCATCTATGTTTGCAATACACATTTTCGTGTCAAATTTGACGTTTTAAGATAAATTTCGTCTAAATGCCAGAGGTTTAATATTGAACTTTACAGCATTTTTTTTTCGAAGTAGATTCAGACAATTTCTATATATTAAAAAAAACCACACAACATACAGCAAGACTAAAAAACTGAATGCATTGCTAAAAGAGGAGAAAATCATGAAATTAAAGTACCGAATTTCCATAAATACCCGTAGCCAGTAATTTTCGTATGAAACGTTTTTCAATCAAAGTTTTTTATCCATGACTGGACGAAGACGCGGAATAGCATAAGGATCAACAACCCTACGGTGAATTTCGACAAAAGCATGGATTTCATAAATAGAAACTATTTTTATTCTTATCATGTAGATCTAGTAAAGAAGTTTATTTAAGTATCAAGCACTTTATAAATTTTATTGTGAACAAACCACATCTCAAATATCTCTAAGTATTCAAGAGTCCTTTTAGTATCAATAGAAAAATATCTTTGTCAGAATTTTTTACATATCTGACACCTTAATCCTTAAAAATTTGGCTGAAATTAAACAGATACTGTACAGATACTTTAAGATTTTTGTTTTGTTTTGTTTTGTTTTTGATATTCATTATTATAAAGTAATTATTAATTACTTTACTGTTAATGGTGTATTTACAGAAATAACAAAGGTAAAAGCAATTTATATGAAATTAACAAGTAATAAACATTTATGGTAAAGGTTTCTATGCATTGCTTTCATTTGACCGCAACAGACATGTCTGTCAAAAACTAAGCTGTTTAGCACAAAAGTTAATGACATCATAGGATCTTCTAGTGAAAAAAAATATTAAAAAGTTTATTATTGAATTCAGGAGTCCTCACCTTTTGGGGTTCGCCTGAGAAACACGAACTCTCTGTTCTACTTTAAACAATATTCTTCATTTTCTTTTAACTTTCGGATTCAAGTCATACTGTACTGTAGTACAGTAGTTATAGGCTAGGCTACCTGACCTATTTTCTCAGAATACAAACTCTGATTAATAAAATGATAGTTTTTTTTAAATCACTCAAATTTTATACTCAGTTCATAAAATGAAGTATTGATAATGTTTAATGCAATCTTTATTGGAGTTTTACAGTACAATACCTTTTAGCAATGTTGTATTTTATGACAAAATTTGATGCGCGTCGTCTGACCATATCTTTACAAATGGCGGAAATACTATCAAGGGGAGTAACTATGGCAGTCAAATTAACATATAATTTTTGCTGTTTCATTATCTAGAGATCTATTTAGAGACATCTAGATCTAGCTAGTTTCACTTTGTTTCCTTTCTTTTCTTTTTCTTTTTGATTGGGAGTTGTTTGCGCCACACCAACGCAGTTTCAGACACGAACGGGCACCTAAGTAGACCCACCGCCGTTCCATAAGTTAGCTAGATAACTTCTTCACACGGAATAATCAAAAGTCCCTTGCGGGAGTCGAACTCGTAGCGATGAGGGGCAATTTAGTGGTTTTAGGTCAACGACCTTAACCACTCGGCCACGGACCCCTCTGATTTAATCAGTAAACGATGTGTAAAAGAAGATGCGAAAACCACACAATTTATGAAAATTGCCCCAAATGTGAATTTGACAATAGATTTATAACGACCTGCGTGAAAAGATCAGTTTTCCACATTTGACGAAACTAAAAATTTCTATCGCTGAATGCAACTCATAACTCCATCGATGTCAAGATCCAAAGGGAAATAAATTTTGTGGCCACACAAAAATGTCTCTTAGCAATATACAGATATTAGTATCAACAGATTTTAAATAATAATATCAAATTTGAAACTCATAACAAAGACCTTTGATTTTGGCAATAAACAAACAAAATATCAAACAAAAATAAATAAATAAATAAATAAAAATATAAAATGATTAATTTATAAACAGTAAAGTTAAGAAAGGGGCGTAACTATTCTAAATATAACAAGAGTAGCAAAACGTGGTATGCTGAGTAAAT